CCGGGCTGTTAACCCGGTTAACCCGCTTAAAGGTTAACCCGGGACCGGACCGGGGGTCCCGAAGGGTTAAACCGGGACCGGACCGGGGCTGTGGAAGGGTTAAAACGGAACCGGACCGGGGGTCCCGGAGGGTTAAACTGGGACCAGACGGGGGGTCCCGAAGGGTTAAACCGGGACCGGGAGCGGACCGGAGTGTGAAGGGATTAAACCGGGACCGGACCGCGGCAGTGGAAGGGTTAAGGCGGAACCCCGGCAGTGGAAGGGTTAACACACGGAACCCCGGCAGTGGAAGGGTTAACACACGGAACCCCGGCAGTGGAAGGGTTAACACACGGAACCCCGGCAGTGGAAGGGTTAAGAGGCGGCGGAGGCTCCGGGCCCCCCCGGGGGCGGTGCGGGGCTGACATCACGGCCCCGCCGCGCCGAGCAGCGGGCAGCGCTCCCCGCCGGGCAGCGGCCACGGCCCGGCCTCCTCCTCCTCCTCCACATCCTCCTCATCCTCCTCCACATCCTCATCCTCCTCCTCATCCTCATCTTCCTCATCCTCCTCATCATCTTCCTCATCTTCATCCTCCTCCTCCTCCTCCCCCCGGTTCCCGCCGCCGCCGCCTCCTCCCCGCCGCATGACCGTGACCAAGGTAAGGCGCTGCCCGCGGTGCCCGCCAGGTGCGGCCCCTCCCGGCCCGGTTCCGCTTCTTCTCCTCCCGGCTCGGTTCCGCTTCTTCTCCTCCCGGCCCGGTTCCGCTGCTTCTCCTCCCGGCCCGGTTCCGCTTCTTCTCCTCCCGGCCCGGTTCCGCATCTCCTCCCGGCCCGGTTCCGCTGCTTCTCCTCCCGGCCCGGTTCCGTTTCTCCTCCCCCCGGCCCGGTTCCGCTTCTTCTCCCGGCCCGGTTCCGCTTCTTCTCCCGGCCCGGTTCCACTGCTTCTCCTCCCGGCCCGGTTCCGCATCTCCTCCCCCCGGCCCGGTTCCGCTGCTTCTCCTCCCGGCCCCGTTCCGCATCTCCCACCGGCCCGGTTCCGCTGCTTCTCCTCCCGGCCCGGTTCGGCTTGTCGCGGCCCGGTTCGGGGGATCCGAGCGGAACCGGGCCCCTCCCGCGGCCGCCCCGGGCCCGCAGCGCTGCTGCAGTTTTAACCCTTGGAGGGGGCGGCGGCGCCGGGGGAGCTCCCGCGGGAGGGAGGGGCGGAGACGGAACCCCCGGTACCGGGAATGGCCCGAACCGGGAATGATCCGAACCGGGAATGGTCCTGAACCGGGAATGGCCCCGAACCGGGAATGGCCCCGAACCGGGAATGATCCCCGAACCGGGAATGGCCCCGAACCGGGAATGGCCCCGAACCGGGGAGCCCGAACCGCGCATCCCAAACCAGGCATCACGAACCGGACATCATCAACCGGGAATGGCCCCGAACCGGGAATGGCCCCGCACCGGGAATGATCCCCGAACCGGGAATGGTCCTGAACCGGGAGTGGTCCCCGGTACCGGGAATGGTCCTGAACCGGCAATAGCCCCCGAACCGCGGTCCCAACCCTCGATCCCAATCCAGGATCCCGGTCCAGGATCCCGCGGGCCCGGCCCCTCGCGGGGGTCGCGCATTCCCGGGATCTCTCCCTGAGCCGCTTTTCCAGCCCTTCCCGAACCTCTGCAGGTGGCCGGGAGGGCTTGGAAAACCTCGGGAATGGCTCTGGGAGCTCGGGGGGATCCCAAATCCATCCTGGAGCAGCTCCCGGATTCTCGCGGGCGGGGGAGGTTTTGCTTCCTCAGGGCTGATCCCGTCTCTTCCCATCCCGGGATCCCCGGGAGCTGATCCCGCTCTCCCATTCCCGATCCCTGATCCCGCTCTCCCAT